ATCAGTCAAGTAGAAACAGTCAAAATATTTTATCAGATTTTCTCAAGTTTTGCATGATATTTTCATACAGGACATCTGTTGTTCAAACTCAGGGAAGACTTTATACTGATGAATATGGTGACCAAGTTTGATAAAGTTTGGAATAGAATTAGTAAAGTTATTATGCACACAATAACAATTATTAACGACGACGACGACAACGCCGGACAACATTTTTCCCTCAATATACCTTTCCCTTCCATCTATGATGGTACGGGCAAGGTAAAAACGAGGAAAAAAATATGATATAATGAAAGAGCTAATACATGCATTTTGGTTCTGAGTAAATAAAACTATATATAAAAAAAAAGTTACAATCGTTCTGATTGATAAACTGTTCGAATTTATACTTTGTATTATTGCTGATCTGTCCTTACACAGCTAAAATTTCTAACTACTTCTCGGAGCAGATCGCGATAGTGATCACTATTATATTAATCTGTCATCACAACTATCCTAAACTAAATTACACACTAATGTCAAGAAGACATGTGATATAAGCATTCACATGTATGTAGAATTAACATGTGCATGCTTATTCTGATTTATTCTGATTGCTAAGCGCATAAAGGACTCTTAAGTTATCAGTTATGATGTTAACTGAATGCCAATAGAAGAGTCTTGTTTACTAATCATTCAATAAATCTTTGGTGTGAACGTAATAAGGCCCCTGGAGTAGCTGGATTTTCAAATTTGTGCTTACTGATGTTTCAATTTTGTAAGCATGTGGTTCTGCAGTAAACATGATGATGAACCAATATACTTGAAAGTTGCAGTAACTGACCCCTTAAGCTTGTGCAATAAATACTGGTGACACTCAAAACGCAGTGTACTGTACTCTGTGTGCTTTGGTTTATGGTGGAAACATAAAATGAATGTGAACTATTCTGATGTGTATTCAATATGATTAATTCTGATATTTCCAGGGTCTTCAGTCAAGATCATTTGTACAAAAAAAATCATGAATATGTTTCTTTGATAGCAGAAGGCATTGCTATACATAGAGTCCATTTCTCTTAAGTTTCACTTATATTTCAAAACAGAAGCTTGCATATAATATCATAAGATGTCCATGGTTTCTGTCTTCTGTCTTTCTTTGAATATTTCAATTGTCTCATATGAATAGCAGAAGGCATTGCTATATGGAGTCCATTTCTCCCAATCTTGCAGCTTGTGCAAGTCAACATGACAATCACATGGTTCCCGCATGATAATCACATGATGTCTACATGATAATCACATGATGTCCACATGACAATCACATGATATCCACATGACAATCATGAGCATTAAACTTTGGTCACATTCCTAAGTTTTCTGAAGATATATTCCTCCCGGTTTGCTAGGATTTAATCAGCAAATTTGGCAGCATTCAGTCTTTTGACGTATTCGTCTCCCCATTCACGAATCAAACCCTGTAATATAGACAAATTTACCATGAATTTATAAAATATCAGAATGTGCTAACACCCATTCTTGAGTCATGTTCAAGTATAGTCTGTTTATAATATTTAAAAAAACAGATACCGGTACAATCACATCAAGTCCACTAAAAACGTGTTTAAAACACATATATCATCATAGTACTCCTTTGACCACATTTTAGGCATCGACAACATGTTTTTATTTTTCATCTGCATCAAAAAATGGCACTTTTAAATATGATTTGTAATGTATAAATGAAAAATTATTGAACAAAGCATTCAATCATACAATTTATAATAAAATTATCAATTTGACTTCAAATGTTAGGTAATAGAAAACAATCTTCTTTTTTTACATATTTTACATAATGTCTGCTATTGATGTCAACTTTGAGTCAATAATATGTTTTATTCAACACATGTGACTACGTTCTGACCAATCAGTGTGACAATTGAATATTAAGTATGATAATCTATTTTATTTCATCCCATTCTATACATATGTCAATAAGTCACATGACTATATGATCACCTGACTAATCACATGACACCTTACCTCAGCATAGTCTATAGATTTCTTCAATTTGTCAAATAAGTAGCTCATATCATCGTCACTGTACACCGAGTCCTTTAACTCAAGAGGCATATGCTGCAATGGAACACCACAAGTCAATAATTCAGTCACACAGAATGAGGTCGTCATTGCATGCTGATCACCTGATATATCTGTTTTTCATAGTACAGGTTGATACAAGTAACTTTCATATGTAAACACAAAAGAATATCTTTTTTGTGTCCAACAACAGATGAGACTTGGGTGCACCGATCATTGAACCTGATTCAACAACCATCAC